GTATTACAGTGGAAACACTACTCCCTGGTGGTGAATATATACGCTACAACAAAAGACAGAAGGAAAGAGGAGACTGAATCTCACATCGTCTCTTAACAACTTTGGTCTTCAGCATCCACCTTTAAAGCTTTTCATCGTAGGTGTGCTTTCACCTGATCTCTCATGAAACAGATCCGATTCACCCTGCTCAGTGTCCTACCACTCTCAAATGATACAGCGTCTTCCCTCTCGCTTTATCAGAGTTAAAGACGCAGGCCCAAAAGGTTTCTCAGCAAAATCATTGTAATTATTGTAATAATGACTTATTAAAGATTCATTTTGTATGTATTTGTCATGTTAAATGGATGTTTTCACATACTGTATGTCACATAAAACAATACATTTTCAGATATTCATTTAAAATATGAATAACTAAAAATCCCACGTGCCCATATCAAAATTACCATGTGACTTTTTTGTAGCATTAAAGCTGCAATGTTAAGTAATGTTCACTCTCCTCTTTGAACAGTCTTCCTCTAGATGCTCCACAAGCTGATCACCAACTCTGAACTGCAGAGAGACGCTTTCCTGGTGAGGCGTGTAAATATTTACAGTTTTCAACAACTCGCTGGAAATAAATGCGAAAACTGTGTAAAATATGTAAGCAAACAATGTAACAGGAAAACATGTCACAAAAAAACAAAACTTTGGGACACCGGGTTTAAAACACAGCTCTCCAGTTTGCAAGTCCTCTGTTTGTTCAACGCGTCTCATATGGCGGTTGGTATACCTTTTGAAAAATGACTCCTCATTATTTTATGCATGTGTCAATTTTAGCTCGTTACATGGATACATGTCTTTTCAAAATAAACTTCCGTCCTCGCAAACAAGTCAGTTAGGTATAGGACAATAACCTCGGCCGTTACTGAAGTACACGAGCTACGTGACAAATAAATCAACATTGACTTCTCGTGTCACGTGAGGAGCGAACAGCGGTCTCCTGGCTGGGAGATTGTTGGCTGTTGGACCCGTCCACCTCCTCTCCCAGCTGCCACATGTGCGTTTTTGGCGTCTTTATACTTCCTCGTCCATGATTACGTGGATAACAAATGAGATCATTTGGTGGGATACGTACGAGTTACGGTACGTTATTTGTGTGTATCAAACGCTGGATGAGACCAGCCTGGTGTGTTTGACACATTTGCCTCCAGCGGTGTCTCTCGCTTGTTATACATTTGTGTCACTTGTTTAGAGCGTAGCGCATCCACACGGATGCGTTGACATGGTGGTCAGTACTGATGACATGGCGTACAAATGACGCGCAAAAACGAAGAAAGGCATTCTCGTTGCATGCAAAACGACTTACAAATTGTCAGAAAAGACAGAACAGTGCAATAACACATGAGGCAAGTAAAGGACTACTATTAGTCTGTGCTGCATGCTAGCATGTTTGCATTTAGCAGACAGTTAAGTTGCATTAATGTGGAGCTGAAACAATTAATGGATTATCAGAAAAAGGAATCAGCAACAATTGATATCTAGTTCCACCTTCTTTCCTGTATATATTCTGTGATGGTAAATTGATTATCTGAATACTTAAGACAAAACAATAATTGTCACATGGGGAATTAGGAAATATAGATATCTGACATTTTCAGTCACAATTTTCTGACATATAGACCAAACAAGTGAGAAAAGAATAAGCAGATCAACCATTAGTTGCACCCATTGTGTGTGTGTGTGTGTGTGTGTGTGTGTGTGTGTGTGTGTGTGTGT